GCCCCTATATGTCAGGCGCCCCTATATGTAAGGCGCCCCTATATGTCAGGTAACGTTACCAACCCCTGTCAATATTTCTAATCTTCTACATAGCAGACATTGTGTATCAAGTGATTGATCCTACTCGCTAGTGGAATTAAAGAAGGTACGACATAGAACAAACTAATTGCTGGTTTTCGACTTGTTTGATGTTGTACCTACTTTAATTCTACGACATGATGGAAAAGATGAATGAAATTATTATTTTTTTCAACGAGCGACAGCAGACAAGAAACAGGATCATTTATTCCTACCGTATCCTGACTTGATAGCAATCTTATTCGACAAAGGAACAGCTGTTAAGATTTCCACAGGAGCAGGACAATTAATTCCATCATCTCTGGGGTCACCAACAGTGAAAGATCCAGTATCTGTCGCCTCGACGTAGGAGCCACGATAGGTTTGAAGAGCAATGTTACCAGACACTTCGAAAATATTTTCCAGTTTTCTCCATCCTCCGTGCCGAAGAGTATCGGTATCGGTTGGTGTGTCGTCTTCTCTTTTACGTTTGTTCTTCTTTTGTTTCTTTTTCTTTGAGGGCTCGTTCAAACCTTTGAGTTTTAGACGACCAGACTTGACTTGCTTATAGTCCGCCATCTTGGATTCTTCGAATGCGCCCGTGATCGAGATGTACAGCTTTCAAATCAACCTCGTTCCCAGGGCCCTCTCGGCCCGAACCACGTGATCAAATACTCCAAAAAAAATCTTGGAGTATTTTAGGTCACGTGATCAGCCTTTACTAGGGTCTTCTCCCCGACGACCGCCATTTTGTTTTGGAGTCGGGCCGAGAGGGCCCTGGGAACGAGGTTGCTTTCAAATTGTTAAAACATAGGTAGCCACAGGCAGCCAAATCAAGGTTCCTGTGTAGGTTTATAAGGGAATGTATGGGAGTTATGATAAAGTTACGAAAATAAAATGTTTCACTCAACAATTTGCTTCAAAACTTGTTGCAGTCGTTGCTTTTACTTTGTTCAGTCTTCTGGCGACGTTTCAGCGCGATTTGAGGCCRTTTAGTGGGTTTTTTCAAAATCCGCTCTTCTCTACCTAAATAATTATTTAAGAGAAGAGCGGATTTTGAAAAAACCTACTAAATGGCCTCAAATCGCGCTGAAACGTCGCCAGAAGACTGAACAAAGTAAAAGCAACGACTGCAACAAGTTTTGAAGCACATTGTTGAGTGAAACATTTTATTTTCATGACCTTAATCATAACTCCCATACATTCCCTTATAAACCATACACAGGAACCTTGTTTGGGCTGCCTGTGAGGGAGCCCAATAAATGGCGATTTAATAAAAACTCGCAAAAATAAAAATAGCTAAATGACTTCGGAAGGCGATAAAAACCCCATATATTGATAAGTTAACTTGAAAACAAATTTATTTAGGACATTCTTTACAATTTCACGTATTAAAAAAAAAAACTTATTGAGCTTCAAGTACACTGCTTGGGTTGCCTGTCCAGAAGTAGGAGATACTATATTCTATATTTATTAACCAATGACGTATTATCCTGCCCAAAGCCATTTTCATTTCGAGCATCTTTGCGCACGTTGAAACACATTGCATCTTATCTCAGCAAAAATGAAGATTTCAAACATCTTTAGAAACATTACAGTGGAACCAGTTCTCTTCCTATACATGTTTTGTACATTTATGAGCTTTCCTCTGCTCCAACAACTGGCCTATCGTAAAATATGCCAAGAAAAATTAAACGAAACGAGTTGCGAGAACCTCACTAAGACACAACGTGATGGTGTCCAAGAAGACACCTCAAACTGGATGGTCTATCAATCCGTTGCTCTCGGCGTTCCCTCTATTGCTGCTTCATTGGTTTACGGTTCATGGTCTGACTCTGTTGGACGTAAATTTATAATGATACTCCCTCCTATTGGGAACGCATTAATGAACATAAATTATCTCTTAAATGTTCACTTTTTTCAAGTCAATGTAAACTACCTACTTATTGGAATTGTCATTTCTGGGTTTTTTGGAGGTTATGCAACGGTTCTCTCGTCTGTATTTTCTTATATTGCTGATGTAAGTGATAAATCTAGCCGTACGTTAAGGATAAGTATATTGGAATCCATGGTTTTCTTGGGAGCAAGTGGAGGGGAGATGGTTGCTGGAGTCCTTCTTGACAGTTCAGGATTCATGGCTGCCTTTGGGTTAGCACTTGCAATCAATGTCTGTATTATTTTGTATGTGAGCCTTTGGCTGCGAGAGTCCTATTTCCCTACAGATCAAGTACATGCGAACCCATTAATCAAGCTTCATAGCCATATTAAGAATGTTTTGACAGTGCTGTTCAAGGCAAGAGATGAAGATCAGCGATTGTACCTCTTGGTTGTACTCTTTGGAGCTTTACCTATTGTACTCATAAGTATGTTTATACAGGGGCTACGTCAAGTCTTAAAACCCCACTTTTAGTCTCATAATCTACAAGGATGGATTTAGGGGAGGGGAGKGGAGAGGGGAGGGGAGAGGAGAGGGAAGGCAATGGGGCAGCTGCCCCCTCTTTAGTTTGGGATACATTCTTTACCTTTTTTGTTCAAAATATTCCCAGAATGCAGGAAATAGCATTTTTGGGAACCATATTTTAAGCATTTTTTTGGAAGCATGTCCTCAAACATCCTTTGGTTTTGTTTTGCATAGTCAGCAGTAAGATTTATCCAATGCCAAATTTTTAAGTTTATGGTCATAATGACTTGGGAAATTATTTTTAGCTTTTTTATGCCTTGTTTCTGGCTTAACAATGCTTGTCAAAATGACCAGCAAGGAAAACTTTTGACCAGGCAATTACCAATTATCAACCTGTTTCTCAGATTCCTGGATCCCAACCCTTTTAGGGTGCTCCATACTCTTTGCCATATGTATAAAAATTAGACAAAAGTTTTTGCTCTCGTCTTCCAGATTTTGGAGGATTCAATGATACATCATTGCTCTACATCATCAACCAGCCATTGTCATTCTCGTCATCCTACATTGGGTACTTTTTATCTGAGGTGTATTTCATAAGAGGTCTAGGGGTGGTTGTTGGGATGCCAATTTTGACCAAGTACTTCAAAGTGTCAGACTATCTCATAGCAGTGTTTGGGATGATGATTACGTTGGTTGTGTTTATATTTTATGGTTTTGCGACACGCAAGTGGATGATGTTCTTGGGTAAGTAGTAAGATGTGGTTTTAATTGTTGTGTTGTGTTAAGATATGAAATTTTTAACTACTGTATTGCTTGATTTTGCTAAACGTCATTGAATACCTGTCTCATCCAAAAAATCCATCAGTCAAAATCACGAGTTATCTGGCTGATAGCACATGGTTGTCAGTGTTTTCCCCCATAATAACTAATGAACAAGTGTTTCAACTTTCTTTCCTTTTCTGTAGGAGCTGCTTTTGCCTTTGGAGATGGTTGGCCAGTACCATGCATGAGGGCAATGATGTCCAAATCTGTACAAACAGATGAGCAAGGTCTGTACTGTGCGCTTGTAAATTCTAAATAGAGGTTTTGCACAATCATGTGTCAGTGCCAATGAATACAGCTTGGACTTCCTGTGGTTAGACGGTAGAACAATAAAATCCCTTTGCTCTTGAATTCTTTCTCATGTAAAACGATTGTATTGTTCCTGCCGATGGCTGCCATCACATGATTCCAATTCCAATAAGGGTCACATGTTTGTGAGCCACTGGCTATAAGTGTTACCCTGAGCTCATAAAACTAGTAAGAACAGTTTTAAGACTTGTGTGTTTATGAGGAGCCTAACACCTAATAACTTTTCTAACTTATGTGTGTAACCACTGCAATGGAAGTGAGTTTGTACAGGGGCATGGCGAGGTCTCTGTTATAAGGGAGGCAATGTACCATCCCCCCCCCAGTGCACACAATTATGCAGTTCAATAGAAGCATGGGTTGTGTGTGCTGCTAATTCACCCCTCTCACCAATGCCACCTGGGTTCATTACTTGCCGGTCTCAGTATCGTATGTGAGTAGAGGTAGAGTTGTTTGTTTGTTCTTCCTGCATGTGCTTCAATGGTTTTTCTCCAGTTTCTCCAGTTTTCCTTCCTTCTCAAAAATTAACTTCTAAATTCCAATTCCATCTTTGTGCTTTCACCTAGCTTGAACCTAATGTGTTGTGTTTGTTCCCACTCTGTGATACAACTGCTAAATAGATTTAATAGATTAGATGTCATCTCAAGTTTCTTACTACATTCTCAGATTTAGTAAAGCTTTGAGGGAGATGGTTGTAATTATCATCATTCTTTCAGGTACCATGTTTGCTGCTGTTGCCTCACTAGAGGTACTGTCTACATTACTGGCCTCATTAATATTCAATAGTATTTACAGCAAAACAGTCTCCTGGCTGCCTGGTTTTACGTTCTTTCTGCTTTCTGGGATCTTGCTCATTCCAATTGGAATAATCTTGTAAGTAAAATATATATATACATTAGTGTGTATGACATTGGAGATATTTCATGTACAAAATAAGATACATCATCATCATGGTCTTCATATCCACTATCAGCAACCACCACAACCATAAACAGCAGCACCACAATTTTGATCTTCACCTTCACAATCACCACCATCATCATCATCACCATCAGTAGCATCATCATCATCTTCATCAGCAACATCATATTATCATCATATACTATCTTCATAATCATCACAATCACCACCATCAACATGCCTTATCATAATCACCATCATGCATCATCATCATCACTATCATGCATCTTCATCGTCTTCATTACCATTCCTCATCATAATCATCACACCACCACCATCATCATTACCATGCATCATCGTAATCATCACCACCATCATCAACACCATGCATCATCGTAATCATCACCATCATCATCACCATGCATCATTGTAATCATCATCACCATCATCATCACCATGCATCATAATCATTACCACCATCATCATCACCATGCATCATCGTAATCATCATCACCACCATCATCATCACCATGCATCACCACCATCATCACCATGCATCATCGTAATCATCATCACCATCATCATCACCATGCATCATCATAATCATCACCACCATCATCACCATGCATCATCGTAATCATCACCACCATCATCATTACCATGCATCATTATAATCACCACCATCATCACCATCATTATTGTCACCATAATGGATACTGCTTGTTACTATTATCATTACCATTACTTATCTTTATGAGCACTATATATTATTTATATTAGTATCACTATAAAAAAATGAAACATTTTTCTCTCTCATAGAACACTTTATTTCAAGAAAAGAAAAGGATACCAATATAAGGTCATGGAAGATCCTGAGGACAGCATACACAATCTTCCGGTCAATACCTAGCCATAACCACAGCATGTACAGTACACTGTACAGAGGAAGTTATTTTAACCACAGGAAATGCACGCAAGTATATTACAGTTATTGGTATGCAGTTTGTTTAAAATGTTCTGGGGATAAATAAGAATAATGCAGACTGTGATGATCAAGTAATTAATGAAGCAAGTAGTAATTGATTGGTTTAAATTTTTGTATAAATTATCTGTTTCCGGTTCGCTAGTTTTACAGCCAACAGTTAAAATTTGAATACTTTACCGTACACATCATAGGGTCTTGCTAAATTGCTTATTTTTTGGAATGTTAATCACAGACAAATAAACTGTTCCATTAACAACGTGTAAATATTAAGCTTGATTGTTTTTCTTTTGAAGAAAAAAAGGCGGTTGAATTTATACCGGATGTCAGAATGTTTGAAGCATGCGCATAGGCTGACGACCTAGAATCTGGGTCTTCTGGTTTGTGTGTTAGCAGAGCCTTTGATTTTTTGGTGAGAAGGGTCTGGGTACGAGATCGGATTTTCCTCCCTCTGCAAAACCTAAAGAGTTAAATTCCAATTGGATTTGTAAAATAGCAGTGCCCTGTTCAAAATCATCCAAGAAGTTGTCTTACTATTGGGTTTCAGTGATAATTTTAAACCAAAGAAAGTTTAGTGTTGAGAAAGGTAGATGCATACAGATCAGCTTCATGTCAGTTCAGTTTCTTTTTGAAGGAAATCTTTGATTTAAGTTACGTATCAGTAACAAATACAAGCTGCAAAGAAAAATAAAATAAATAATGGCTTCAATCAAGATTTTTTTATGCATCATTTCTTCCTGTATGAGCTGGTTACTATCATTATGTTCTTCACTTTATTTTGAAAAAAACAAATAAAAAAACAAATAAAAACAAATGAGATAAGGATGATTTTCATCAATTATTGGTTCAGTGGATTTCAAGATTTCAATCTCTAGAGAATGGTGAGTAAGTTTAAATATAATAAAATAATATAAATAATTATAAATGACCTCCTCCCCCCCCTCCCTCCCCCATAGAGGTAAAGCTTTATAGGGCAATGCACTTAATTAAATTTGAAAAGTGTCCTTACACATTAAGTTAAGAAAAGTTCAATTCTTAGGGGCACAATGAATAAATATGTCCACTTGCTTACTTACTGTATTTACTTACACATACACATGATGACATAGTAGCTATGTCTTCCCAGAAAGCAGTAGCTACGAAAATGGACACCTAAAGCTAAGAAGAAGGAATCAAAGAAATGCTGTAATCCATGTCTCCATCTCCTAAGAAAACTACCTCTGTTCATATTCCCCTAGCACCATCTTCCCGCTCCCTGTCCCCTTAAAGGAGGGCATCATAATGCCTCTGGAATGACATAGTGTTATTTGTTATCTAATAGTTCACTGAAGTCATCATCCTCTATATTAACCTGCAAACATCTTGGCATATTGGCACAAGGGAAGAGCCAAGGAAGAAAGGAACTGTCAAACTGAGATGTGCCTTTATCGGTTCTCTTTGCCAAGTGTTCTTCCAACTCAGATAAAACATGGGACAATACTGTATTTGGGAATTCTTCTGGTGACATTGGTCTACCTTCTCCAAAACCTGCTTCCATGTTGAACACTAGTGGTGGATCATGGAAATATGGTATTCCATTTTCTGAAATTTAATCGAGGTACAAAAAGGTTTATTGTTATTATATTTATAAGTATTTTATTTAGATTTATCATTATTAGCCATTCCCTGGTTGAGGGGAAAACTGGTTGGAGTTGGCATTACAGTGTATTGGGCAGGCACATTGCTAGGGGTGGTTAAATGGTTTGAATGAAGCCCCATTTCCACCTTTGTAGGGGTACGAAATAATGTTTAGCTCTATTTTAGTTCAAGAAATGGCATGATTAAGATTGGTAAGAAAAGGAACCTCCCCTTTCAGGGTCATAGCAACAAGATGTATTTCCTCCAAAAATTATCCATTACCCCTGCCCCCGCCCTAGCACAGAGGAATTTGGAATTTCTGAGGGGTAGGGAGGTCAGAGAAAGAACAAAATTACAGAGGTTGTATGGGAGAACATTGGAAAATACAGCATATTTTGAAATATTCCACATTACATATTCCAAAAACAGTATTCCTATCAAGATGCAATAAGGAAAATGGAGGGGGGAAAATCGAAGTTATCAATTCCTGAAACAACAACCTCTGGACTGATTAGAGTCAGATAACTCAGATCGAACCCTAAAACAATCTCTGCATTGATCTAAGTTAGAGCATGGCTAACTCACTGAAATTTAGAATGCTAAATTTTGCAGAGAGGAAAACCCAAGATTCCAAAGAAAAATCTTTGAATCAAGGGAGACACCTAACAAAATCTACTCATATGTAATGCAAAGTCCAGGAATCGAAACTGAGACCTCAGGGGTGAGAGTGTAGTGTACTACCACTACACCACCCTTGATTCCCTTGCAACATCCATGACTTCCCTCAGGCTTTGATTATGTTTTATTTCTGTATTAATAATGATTAATAGCACTCACCTGTTTGAGTAACAAAGACAAATTTATAATCCCCGTAAGTCACTCCAGAAGGTTTAAAAACATCAGTATAATGGTAAAGAATGTTATGCTGCGTAACGGCACTTGAATTTCGAAGAAATGGGACCAATGACTTGCCATCAAGTTCTGATGTTTCTAATGAAATCTGATAGGTCAGATCCATTAATGTTGGCAGAATGTCCATACATGATGTCGTAACATTAATTATCTGCCCTGGTTGTAGTTCTTGTTTCCACCTCATGATGGTCGGTACTCTTATGTCGCCTTCCCAGACATTGTTCCCTCCACCTAAGAATTCAAACATTTACATTAATCACATTATGAATGTAAATCATGTTTATGGTGAAAAATTCTAGAATTATGAAAAGTGCAACAATAATAATCATTATTGTCTTAAAACATATGAATTTACATTCTGTACTTTGATTTGTGGGGGGGGGGGGGGGGGGTAAAAGGGGGGACAACCACCCCCATTTTGTTCAACAATTTAAGTATATCACAAGTAATCGTCCCCCCCCTTCCCTCAAATTCCTGGTAAAACCTTTGTAATAGTCACCCCCTACTAAAATTCCTGGATTCGCCCAGCCCTGAAACCTAACATGCTAAATTGCCATTGCTCTGAGTTTGCCCTGCCTTGAGTGAATTTTTTTTGGGATTAACCCAGAGGTTGTTTCAGGGTTTGATAAATTTTGTAAGCTTTTTTGTGAAGAAACATAAATGGTAATATTTTGCCTTTTAGGCACTTACTCCTAAATTCTTTATGTAATTCAGATTCAGTGAAACGTTGTCCATTTTCTCTGCTGCATTCACCATGTACCTCTACACAAGGTCCACCAGTTGACGTCAAGATAACAAGAGTGTTGTTCTCCTTCCCCAAGCTGTCTAAGGTACGAATAATCTTACCAATGCTCCAATCAAGCTCCAGTAATGAGCATAAAAACAGATCATTCTCAGTGCAGTTTGAAAAAGCATTGGATACATACAATGGCTCGTGCATGTTCAAATAACTCTGCATTATGAAGAATGGGCTCTTCCTTGCAGAATAATCATTCAATATCTTTAGAGTCTCTCTTGTGAATCTTAAAGTCATGTTGTTGACCGTATAAGGCTGTTCAATAATTTTCCCATCTCGATAAAGTACACAGTTCCTCAAATACACAAAATCCATCAAATCAAACGAAAAATAAACAAGATACAAAAGGATTAATTCAGGGGCTGCTAGACAGAAAAACATCATCATATTAATCTTCTTGAATATCAAAAGTACTACCAATCCTCCAAAAATGATAGTAAAAGAGATAGTGATGATGAGGAATGATGTTGGAAGATCCTCATCGCGGTCATCGGGGTAATGATAATTATACAAGTTAGTTTGATTAGTGTCGTTACCAGAGTTAGACGACGTTCTTTCAATACAATAGCTATTGTGTAAAGTTGGTACACCATACCAATGATCAAAGCCTTGGTGGATCGGTAAGAAAGCATTTTTACGACCTAAACCCATCCCCCAGTGCCCCACAAAGGCAGTCTGGTATCCTTTGGCTTTCAAGACTTCAGCTAAAGTGATGTGATCCAGTTGAAGTCCTCCAGTCGATGCAAGTGAAGGCATGGCTTTATATGGCAAATACCGACTCTTGAGGATTCCAGTTTTGATTGGTAAACGTCCTGTAAGGATTGATGCACGCGTAGACGCGCTAGATGACTGTGAGTACCAACGGTTAAAGCGAACTCCGTCTTTGGCCAGTTGATCGAGGTTAGGTGTTTTCACAGACATTATTCCATAGCAACCCAAGTCTCGAAACCCTAAATTATCTACGAGTAATAATATGACATTCGGGAGGCCTTCGAGATTAATACTTTTGATGGTTTTTGGATAAAGAAGCAGCAAAAACACAAGAACTTGAAATAACAAACTTTTGATCTTTGCGTCCGCCATCTTGAATATTGTTATCCGCTGACTGGCTAGTACTACTGGCGTCGGATTCTGAACCCGTTTCCAGTCCCACCTCCAGTCTTATCTCACAGAGTGCTCTGCTCTGCTCTGCTCTGCTTTATTTCTCTCAGTTTTCTTCCTTTCTTTTTTTAGTTTTTTTCTTTTCTTTTTTATCCCTCCCTTCTTTCCTTCTTCCATTACTTGGAAAGTAAATAGACCTTACCTGATTTCGCCTGAGTGACTACGATCACTCCAAGCCGAGGTTGGACTTAATAAAATACAGAAATACAAACATCATGCAAGCCAGTCTTCCAACAGTCGAATTGAAGCCCTTGGTTTGTGATCATTTAAGCGAAAGATCTATTAGATTTTTGTGATGATAAGACTGAGACTGCTGCATTTACACGCCGGACGAACTTTGAACCGGTCAAAAAGTTGCACGTTTTATAGAGGTTCGGCATTCCGGCGCACGTGACAGAACTATTCGAACTTGAACTCGTACTCCTAGCCGTGCAAATTTGGATCCGGTTGATCCGGTTCCTTGTAAAAAGGAACTCATTTCTTATTCAATTAAAGAGACGGTTCCGTGTAAACAGTATGTAGACGTCATATTTTTGATCGGTTAAAAATTTGTCCGGTTCCTTGTAAACGCATCCCGACTGCCTAAAAGTATATGCGGTTTGTACAAATATAAGTTTCCCGATTGTGAGGCAAATCTTTTCATTACAAAGCACGCACTCCTACGGGTGCACCACAAACCAACACATTATTGGTTGACAAGGAGATTGGCGTCTTTAGATAGCTGTGCTCTGCACACTAGACGTTTCTTCTTGCTAATTCGCAGCATGGGCTCTTCCATCGAGTTTGTCAAGTCGGTCTTTCGGCATCCGACCGTAACTAATTCAAACTATTTAAAAAAATTTCAAAACCAATCTGAAGACCACAGAATTGTTTTTTTTCGGTTCAGCAATCGTTACTTCAGCTAACAATTTGACTGGAAAGTTGATGCCTGCATTGTTAGATATTGTTAAAGTGAATAAGCCAATATAAGAAAATGTGAATAAAGGGCAAGCTGGGTGGTATTGAGCTGAAAACCACAAAAATAACCAGTGCTTCATTTCAATATACCATTGCTTCAAAAACCACAATTCTAGGAATTCTTGAGCATCAGAAAATTCCATCTCAAAACAACTTTAGTCTGCGTAGTGATATACGGTATACATAAATATTTTTTGAATTTTCAATTTAATAACTACGAGCTCTTTGCCTCAATCAAGTTATTTTTCTCGCACTTAACTTTCATAATTAGTTCTTTGTAAACCTTAAAAATCATAATTTATGCGTTGAATTATTTATAGTTTCTGTTTGCTCAAGCCAAATTTAGGACAGCTACACATCGTGCATCGAGCCTGTTTGAAAGTGTCAGATTGCTGGACGATAAACCGAAAAAAGCTGGTTTCTGTTTGCGGAGGAATAAAGACATGCCTGATTTAAAGACTCCCGCGGTAAACGATAATCTCTTTGTGTTTTTATTCCGCAAATCCAACGTTAAGGGGGATTTCTTCAAATTCATATGTAAACAAAAGGTTATAACTTGGTATTAAATAGAATCTGCTTTATTTAACGTGTAGGAAAACAAGTTGTCTGAAGAGCAAGTTGCCGGTTAGTACCTAATCTCTTGAATTTCTAGTATATTTTATGCATTTTAAAATGTATTTCACTGGTTTGTCTAAGAGCGCGATACAATACGATTCCTTGAACATTATTTCTATAAGTCGTTCTCGACTGAAATTCAGTTAATTTTACACAGAATTGACTAGCAAATTTTCATTAACATTCAGTGACCAAGAAAATTAGAATTATTATGCTTACAGTTACAACGAGCACAAAAGAACTTCTTTTTGTAGCATCTTAATTCGAAATATGACACTATTTTCACTATAAATTTGAATGATATTTTAAAAAGAGTACAGTATTCTTTAAACGTTACGAAACAAGCTATAGAAAAGGGTCTAAGGCGCGAAATATCAGGTTTTCAGGTTAATTTGAACGTCAAGTTAATATGTTAGCGTAGTACGTGCAAATCCTCACTTCGACTTTATGCAAAACTTTTTTCATCGACAACGAAACATAAATAATAGATTTTCGAGCGTTGCTGAATATGACAATATTTACAATATATAGTCGCAAAGCCAACCTCGACAGGGTATACTTCTATATTTAGTTTAGCCTGGTTTTATTTGTTTTTTTATTTACACCATCGAAGAGTAAGAAAGGTTTTCTTTTCATCTGTTTGTAATTTTTTCCCGATAACGCCGTTGTCATGGGTTACCCGTCCAAAATCGCTAAATCCACCCCAAACAACGTAACATACACAGATACCTGTTCCAATGAACAACATTTGTTTAGTATTTAGCGAAAGAGGGAAATTTGAGAGAACGAAAGATTACATACTTTTTCATGCATTTTATGATTATAATCCAGATTAATTTTTTCAAGGAAAAAAACTTACGAATCCAAATAATTTTTTTTCAACGTAAAATTTAGTTCTGAACTAACGAAATTCGGTTTGTCTCAATTCTAAGGCAAATAAAAGTAAAGTATCTTGAATATTTTCTTGAGCTGTCTTTCTTTATCTATGTCAGCTCTGTTCAGCTGCTTAACTTATGGCGTTATGGTTGACTGAACGTTTTTTATTGCGAATAGATTTTTGACACCAATTAAGTAATTACCAAATTTACATGAGTAAAAGCTTAAACATCTTATATTTGCATGTGCGAGACACGTAACATACATACACATTATTTTTTTAGTGCGTTCGCTCAAAAAAAAAAAAACTTAAAGAGTCTTCACTAGTTAGTCCAACCTTGCTTAACAACAGGAACAACAGCAACCAGTAGAATTAAACCAAAACACAAAGATGTTTTCAAGTATGACGCATTCAAAAAGTGAAAATTCGTCGTACAAACCACTTCCCTGATATAACTCAGACGAAACAGAAATATTAATGTTGACGCCAGAATCACCGACTTGACATCAGCAATAACTCTTATAATGATATTTTATTTGGCTCGAAACCGAAACGAATTCGTTCAACAAAGAAACCACAGAATAAGAATAATGTGACTTTGAAGGTCTTCCGTTTTGTTTAGCTGAATAGAAAACCTTTTTAACTTTATTTTCAAGTCGATATTTCTCAGTTGGGAAATGTTGTTCTTCTTTGTGTCTTTCTTTCGTTGTTTTGGTTTTTATTATATGCCTTTTGTATTCTTTTCTCAAGCGTTTTGAAGTTTCTTAATAATTTGAGTATTAATTGTCATCATTTATGAGAAAGTTGTTTTGTTCACAAAGCATTTTTTTATATTAACAATTCATTTTGGAAATTTATTCTGATAATGAAACTAAAATTTAAGTATTATGGTAATTCATGAAAAGTGCCCGAAGGCAAGATGGCGAGAAATTTGTAATCGTCTAAAAAAATAACGAAAACAATTACAAAAACGATTTACAAAAGTCTCTTAATTTTCCCTGACTAATACTTACTATAGTTCTTGTCAAATCGAAAGAGGCTTAATCTCCATGTAAACGTCGTTGTATATCCTATAAAATTTCAGCTTGTTTATCGCTCAACAGCAAACCTGAATGACAACCTTTTGTGTGTTCGTATTTTATGACATATTTATTCAGTTGTCCCAAAGACAGCGGGTTCCTATAGTACGAAGGATTCCCGCCATTTTTGACTTCAAAGACGTCTTTACAAACGCTTCGTATCCAAAGTTACATTTAGAGGCATTTTCTATTATTCAATTGAATTTTTAATTATTTTTGATATTTTGAGTTAATCGTCCTTTCATTTTTCCTCTCCTTTCTCCCCTGCTCTGCTCTGCTCTCTTATCCTCAACTAAACTGTCAATTCAACCAAAATACAGTGTTTCCAAACTCAGTCGCTCCCTTCACTGTTTAAAAGGGGGAAAACGAAATGTTCGTGTTAAATTAAAAGTTCTGAGAACGCATCCGGTTTAGCCCTTTCTTTTTAATTTCCAACGCTGACACATGATTAAGTTTGAAAATATTTCTTTCAACGATGAAATTTGTATTAGAATACCTTACACAACCAAATATATTAAATTCAGAATCTAACGTCAAGCATTTCCGGGGAAAAAAAGAAAGAACCGGATGATGTTTGTTAGAATTTGTTTTAGCGTTTAATATTAGTTGTTGCGAGAGCCTGTAATCCTTATGGCCTCTGCCCTGAAATTCCCGCCAGAAATGAATTTATTGAACCAGGCGAATCAAATTACTACTGGTTTCTGATTGGCTAAAGACAGAAGCTGCTAAAGATGGTTCCTTTTCTCGCATTTTTGAAGAATGAAATTTATCTGGGCGCAGACCAAAAAGAATGCAGGATTGCTTTGTATAATCAACAAACATGGTGGCTATGACCTAACATGCACCTCAAGGATCCATGCTTGTAGCCATTATGTGCACCGTTTGATGCTTTTTTAAGATTTATTTTGGGAAAAGAACCTGATTGGTTTAAAATCATTTCAGGCCAGATCGAAACAAAACATTCTTGGTTATACAACAACCGACAAAAAAAAGTCATTTTCCGCGTTACGGTCCCGCGTGACGATCCCGCCTGACGATCCCGCGTGACGATCCCGCGTGATTATCCCGCTTGATCCTATGTGCAACAGATCCCTGATACATCTTCAATAATCTTTTTTCTCCCCACAGAATTACGAGAAGCGTTTTGTTTATTCGATAAAGATGGCGGTGGAAGCATATCACAATGTGAGCTTGGAGAAGTCATGAAGTCACTTGGGTTAAGTCCAACTCAACAGGAGCTGATAGACATGATAGCTGAGGTGGATGAGGATGGTAGGTACAACGTAGTTTCCTCGGTTAGGCTTTTCTTCTCTGGGCTTCCTTTGGATGGCTTCGATAATTATAGGCATAAGTAGCCCACCAAGAGAAAAATATAGAAGATGATAAAGGAAGCTTACGAAGTAGGCCATGACCAACTTAGTTTCCTTCCAGAAGTGGATCCAGGGTTATTGTAAGTGCCTTTGCGTGCTTATTATTGTTTTCTTTGGTTTCAACCGGTTTATGTGCATCTTTTTTGTAAATATACTTCTACTACTACTACTACTAATATCAACACTATCTAAGGTATTACTTTAGCATTTAATAAAAACGTATTCGACTAATTTGGCAACCAAAAGTAGCCAGTTGTAGGATCTGTACCAGGGGCGGATCCAGAGGGGGGCTGCAGGGGGTGCGCACACCTCCCAGGTTCGACTTTGTGCCCCAACTTCGAATATAACCAATACTGTTTTCCCCTTTGATTCTAAGGGATGCACCCCTCCCTGGGTTAACTTTGTGCGTAGCACCCCTCCCTGAACAAAATCCTGGATCCGCCCCTGTGTACTAGTCTCGTTCGCAGCCGTCATTAGCTTCGGCCCCAGATCCTAATGACGGTCGCGAAGGAAACTAGATCTGTACTGAACCTGAAAGTACACCAAAGTACTCCAGTATTGACGAGTATCTTTAAATGCCTTGAAGAAACTGGAAAACAGATAACGCTAAAAGGTATACACTACATACATACACTACTACAATTAATTTAATTACAATTAAAGTACAATTAATTTGTTCAAATAATAATAAATAATAAAGACTTTATTTCAACAGGGTAGCCCTTTCAGCAACTAGGCTGATATCCATAGGGGCCCTGCATATAAAACAATAAACTAATTACAAACTATAAAAATATAYACTTCACTATATACAAACTAATTCTATGATAAAATCTGAAAAAATCCTAACTAATATTTATATAAAATTTAAATTTAAGAATAACATGTACCTAGGAAAAAAAACTATATATGTTATATGTCTAAAAAAAAAAAAACGAAACTTTTAAGCTAAGTAATACTTTTTTAGGCGACTCTTAAAAATACTTAAAGATGAAATATCCTTAATATCTCTAGGTAGTGTATTGATTGTTCAACTTCATATGTCACACGCAACGCATGACCTTATAACCCTGGATCCTCCTTTGGTTTCCTTCCTTGGCATCTTCCATTCTGTCTTTTCTTCTCTTGGCGTCCTGTGGATAGTTTCGATAATTGTAGGCACAGGTAGCCTACCATAAGAGATATAAGTGGTAGAAACCTAATAAATAATGTACTTGAAATATATAACGAAATCTTTGCACCAGACTAGTTCAAGCCATTAAACTTGTCTTTTTATTGTATGGGTATATTATTATCTGGTTTGATATCTCCTTTTAATGCTTTTGTCTAGACGGAGGAGTGTTTGTCCGGCAGATTGATTAGTTATTTGATTAGTCGATTGGTAAATCGCTTCATTCGTGTGTGTTGGGTCGTTCGGACAGTCACTCAGTCTATTTCAATTCGTTTGTTGGTCTCTTGATTGGCTGGGTTGGTTGGTGCAGTGTCCGTATATTGGTTGTTTGGATCGATCGATCTGTTCTCTGAACTCACATGGTACAGTAGGCGATCCAGGTTGTTTCTTTCAACGGTTGGTCTTTTGATTGGCAGTTTGGTCAGTCGGCCATCTGGTCGGTCGGTCTTTAGGCTGTGTTGATGATCGGTGGGCCTATAGACCTCTTTAGCTAATAGACCTCCTCGGCTCTGACGTAATGATTTCCCATTTCAGACCACGTGGCATTCCCTAGAGTATCATTTCTTTGTTTAAGGTTTGCGCTCTGTTGCACATGAGAAGACACAAGAATATGGATACAACTCAAACAAAACTGAATATTATTCTTAAGGGAATGACACGTGGTCTGAAATGGGACAACATTACGCTCGAGCGTTCCAGAGCCGAGGAGGTCTATTGGGCGTTTGTTTTGCCCATTTCAGACCACGTGTCATTCCTTTGAGAATAGGATTCTTTGTTTCATTTACACAATCTAAACAAAGAAATAATACTCAACGAATGGCACGTGGTCTGAAATGGGCAAAACATTATGCCCAAGCTAAAGAGATCTTTTAGTCGTTTTCATCTTTTTCTGGTTCCTGATCAATTTATCGCTCCTGTTTCCTAGGTAACGGAGAGATCGATTTCGATGAGTTTTTACAGATGATGGCAAGTAAAATAAAAGATCATGACACTGAAGAGGAAATAAAGGATGCGTTTAGAGTTTTCGATAAGGACGGAAACGGACTGATTAGTCATAAAGAATTAAAACTTGTCATGTCAAGATTAGGTGAGAAACTGACAGATGATGAGGTGGATGAGATGATAAGAGAAGCAGACTTGGACGGAGATGGCATGATCAACTACGAGGGTGAGTTGGAGTGTTTTGTTATGGGCTGAGATTTCTTGTCGTTTTGTTTACACCGAATCGAAATATGGCGACCAATTTGAATAACTGACCAGCGACTGACTAGCCTCTCATACATGTGAAAACGTTTTTGTGTTTCCACGTGAAAACGATTATTGTCAGTCCAGGACAAAATATAGTTCTTAAAATCTGACGCTATATATAATAGGACGTTTGCATGATGGCGTTATTTGACTCCCACTGTCATAATGCCTCGCGATTTTTCTTTCTTATTTAAATTTTTATTTTCTCATAAGAATAGTAAGACAATTGGCCTTCTCGGCTTGAGTGTAATGTTGTCCCATTTCAGACCACGTGTCATTCTCTTGAGAATAAGATTCTTTGTTGGAGTTGTATCCATATTCATGTGTCTTCTCATGTGCAACCGTTAAACAAAGAAAGGATACTCTAGGAAATGACATGTGGTCTGAAATGGGACAACATTACGCCCGAGCCGAGGAGGTCTATTGGTGCTATTTTGTATGGGACCCAGTGTTCTGTTGGTCAGTCCTTCAACCAGTGTTGGTAGAGTGTAGTGTATTTTTTTTGATCTTTTTGTTTATCTATTTATGCTAATAGGTTTGTGTCTTGTGTATGTATCATTCGTGTTTATGCTCACTCGGTTTTAAAGTTGATGAAATAAAAAATATTAATAATTAACTGAACAAAAGAAAGTGTGCAAGGGAGTCTGGTAGTAGAGGTCAATGACGAGATCATGCAAACAACATTAATTTCAAAGAAACCTTATCTGCAGTTAGGCATTAGATAACAAAAAACCACTGATTTTCACTACTTTTCCCACTTCACAGAATTCAAGCAACTTATGACAAAATAAAAATCCCAAGTCATCACTCAGGACACGAAGTCTTCCCTTGCATTTCTCATCCCACGGTTTAACAAAAGGAGACTTTACTCCTAGATTTACTCATCAAGTATGACGAGCAATAGACAGACTGGAGCAATGCACTAACTAATACATCGTATAGTAGAGGGAAGAATGGATTTGTATTCCATTATCCAAGTGAATGAAAGGACGACTTTTGAATGCGTCTTATTTGGCTTAATCACGAGCTGCTGTTTACAAAACTTTAATATTGCTGATATTTGATAGTTATGATCTTTATAACATTGTCATGTTACTAGTTATTGCTGATTATTTGTAATCCTGGCTTTTTCTAAGTCTCTTAGATAATACGAACGCATATGGACCCTTCAATGGACCTTTTCCGAGATAGCGAACATGCTGCATTGTCGTCTAGCTTCGGTACAAACATCTTTTGTTTATCTTGCCTTGTATGGTGTTGTTTGTACAAGCTAGAACACAATCCATCCTGTTTATCGAACTCAGAAAAGGCCTATGGACCCTTCTTAAAAGTATCTTAGATGCGAGGCTGGCATAAATCAGAAAAGAAATCACTCTTTTGCTCGATGGAATTTGTGGCATTTCTTTTGTATTTCCATGTTAGCCTCGCATTCACGACAATTTTAAGAAGGGTACATTTGTATAGGACAAAAATTACTAAAACTAAGTAAAACATTTTATTGATTAAGTAATATATACAGTATGAGTGGCCGTGTTGTATCAGAAATACAACCACGAGGCGTAGCCGAGTGATTGTATATCTGATACAACACGGCCACGAATACTGTATATGACTTATCAAACGTCTAGGTTAGTTCCTTTGTGTTTCACTAAAATTTTCAAAATTAAAGTGAATTTGGCCAAGAAAATCCAACTTAAAGTGTATGCAAATGAACACAGTTTTGTATCAGATTTACAACACTCTTCACGGTCGTGATTTCTGTTGTGTTTTCCTCATGAATTATTCATGACTTTGATAAAGTGTATTTACTTGGCCCGTGAAAAATAGTGAGCATAATACATAGTAGTAGACAATTATTCCATTGTTTTCAGTTTGCTTTACTTTGACTGTTAGTCTCTAATTATACGACTTTGTTTCAAAAGCTATTTTGAATTACTGTAACCATACCACTGACGACCATTTTACTTTTTTCAATGTTATTTCTTCTTGAGGCTGTGCAACCCTAACCTGGAACTTTGTATAAAATCCAATCTAAAGCAAAATTAAGTAGACTATAATGTTGTAATAATGTCTGAACGCGCACTTTAAAATCTTTGGCAGTGTCTACCCTTTACCAAGCTCTTTTAAATCTTTTAGTGGTTGTCGTAGCTTGGGTTCTCTAATTTAGCTATGCCTTAATTTGCAAGAAAAATTACCATGCACTATTTTTGTGTATTAAAGAACAATGTATCGTAAACATATCAATAAAATGCTGGTGTTCAAGTTTGTTTTGAAGATTCACTCGATAGTTTGATGTTGTGACATCTGCAAATTGCATCCTCGAAATTGCTGGATTTCAACCAGCTATTAAAAAATTTGCCTTTCATTATCTGTATCGAATGAGGTTAAACACTGACCACTATGTACTGTCATGTGCAAATTGCATCCTTGAAATTGCTGGATTGCACATGATTAGCCGCGATAAAAGATTTGCCGAATCTTATTATGTGTTCCAAATGGTGCTGTCACCCTGACCACCATGTGCTTTCTTCTTCAAATTGCATCCTTGAAATTGCTGGATTGCACATGATTAGCTGATAAAAGATTTGCCGAATCTTAATGTGCGCTCCAAATGGTGCTGTCATACCTGCAAATTGCATCCTCAAAATTGCTGGATTGCAATTTACTGATAAAAGATTTGCCGAATCTTAATATGTGCTCCAAATGGTGCTGTCATATCTGCAAATTGCATCCTCAAAATTGCTGGACTGCATGCAACAAGATGATAAAAAAACTTTGAAGTATGTGCTCCAAATGGTGTCAAAGTCTGACCACCATGTGCTGTCATCTGCAATGTGCATCCTTGAAATAGAGGTTTTTCACTATCACGTGACGGCAGCCATCGGCAGGAACATCGTTCTTTTTTTCACTTTACTTGCATTTTTCCTTTTTTAAATTAAAGAAATATTTTTGTTTCTTGACATCATATAGTCTGAAGGAAAATCAAAGGATGGAAAACTTCAACTTCCTGTGACTAAGGCTCCGTCCACACTATGCCGGATAAATTTGAATCCGCAACTTTCACGCCGAAACCAAAAAAAAAGTTTTCCGTCCACACATGAAAACGGATAAAATGTTTCGCGTTCATACTAGTCCGATCAGAGGCGGCAAAAACGCTTCATTGCACATCTGAGTATGCGCATCGAAGCTGAAATTGAGCCCGCGGTGAATTTTTAGCCTTCCCGCCAAGTTCCCATGACAATCATGACGTCATCGTATTCGAAAAGTTCCGGATACGAAATGTTCTCCGTCCACGCTAATGCGGCTAGCCGGCGTTTTCAAATTGTTCCACTCTGGAGACCGTGTTCGAAAAGTTCCGTTTTCGGTGAAGAATTGCATGTTCCGGATTCGTCCTGACTAGCGTGGGCGAAAGAACTAACCGGATAAATAAAGTTGAGGATTCAAATTTATCCGGCATAGTGTGGACGAGGCCTAAGATGACGATTTTTTCAGTTCTCCGTATTTCTGGATTACGTTTGGGAAACTCTTTAGAATCTTTCAATAAACTGCGGAAGACAATTTAGTAAAATGAATACACCCATATTCATTAACCAATCCGAGTAATTTGGAAAACTTCAACTCTTTAATTTCTATAACTTGATTCAATTTGGCTAATGGAGTTTCAACCTTCTGGCATATTTAGCATTTGCGATGACACCAACCACGCGTCTCTGAAACAAATCTTTCCGAAAAATGCCAGACTTAAAAAACCCGTTTGGTTCAAATATTTTATCTAAATTTTAATACAGTAGAGTGAAGTCACTAAACCCGTGAAATAAATATTACACTAATACACATTAGCAGACCCTATTTCCATTGTTTTCTTTTGTGTCTATTTGACTATTACAAGTTGACTAGTATTTTTTTATTTCACGGGTTAAATACCCTCGCTCTAAAACGCTGGTTCCATGACCTAGTAGTCTACTTCGATTACAATAAATGTTATAATAAAAAAGTTGCATCCAATTCAAGAGAAAGACCACAAAAAAAAAAAACCCGTAATATTCTCAATGCTTCCTAATTGAGGTCTATTCTTACCACGATATGACATCACTCTCATTAATTAAATGCAGTCCAATGGTCTAGCATGACTCATTAGTTATAGAAGTTAAGTCTATATGCAGTAAAAACGATAATGATATTTTTAATAAATTAATTTTAATTTTAAATGATTGACCTTAATTCCAGTAAGATTAAATAATCCAAATTAGATTTACTAAATTTTAAAAATTTAATGTTTTTTAACTTCAAATTCAATTTTTATGGTCATAGGAAATTAATAGGTGCCGTGCATTTGTGAGGTCCATTCATTAATGGTTGTTGTTGTTCACGGCTCCTAAGCTTTTGTAGTTGTTATTTGTCGTCTTGGTTAATAGTGGTCGTGACTGCCCACAACCTTAAAACCTTTTAGCACTTCCTCCAAAATAATCTCTCCCAAAATTAAAATCTCAAATGTTTTTATTTATAGGTTTCCCAAAATAATTTAAATTACCGAAATTACTCAGAATGTTTGGATTAAGTTATGTATGTTTTATTTTGTGTCATCTGTGGGTGGGTGCTATATTTGTATTTCGGCAAGGTTGTTCTAAAAATGGAAAACTGTTAGCCCAAGGGAATTGTAAAATTCTTCCTATTGCTACGCCTCTACCATTGACATTTCTCAACCTGTTCCGCAGAAACTCACTATTCAAGTAATTATAATGTTTATCTGAACATTATCACGTGTTTTTGTAGCACACGGTAGGGAATGAAGTTTGCCATTCATACTTCAAAAACAGGAAAACAAGACCGTTATCGTGTTTTATTCAACCACAAAGTCGTGCCAATATTTACACTCAAATTTACACGGAAAAACTTGAAAGAAAAGAAGAAGAAAACCGCCCCTATATTTAACTTGGTCGAAATTTTTTGAGTCAAAAATGGAATCTGTACTTTGAAATTTGGAGTCAAAATTCCTCAATAATTCTTAGAACCTTTTCTTGATATATCTATATATAAAATAGTGCTGAAATTTGTTCACTAAAACGTCAACAAAGTATAAAAGGAAGGATTTTTTGTACTAGAAAGAGGATTTCTTAACATTCGGTTGTTCTTTTAAATTATATTTGAAAACGCGAATATTCTGTTCTTTGCATTATAAAAAATGAGCAGCGAGAATTGGTACCAATGCTTAAAGTATACGATGTTGAGTAAAAGGTTTTTTTATTCCTTCGCCAAGAAAGAGGTTCCCTCCATGGCTCGTTTTCTGTGTACTGACCTTTGTGGTTCTTCTCAATTATGTTTGAATAGGAGAACATTCTCGTCTTTGCATAATTAACTAAAACAACTGCTGGATTTGGTATCATGTTCAAAATAATCAATGATGAATGAAAAGATTTATATAGAAAACAAAGTATGTATGCAATGACAAATTAGATTATACTAAAGGTATTTGTATTTGGTTTTTATATGTATTTGTAATTTGAGATTTGTATTTGTATTCGTATTCGTATTCGCATTCGCATTCGTATTCGTATTCGTATTCGTATTCGTATTCGTATTCGTATTCGTATTCGTGTTGACACTGATGAAAAACGCACTGCGCATGCGTTGGGAGAAAAACAAAATGGCGGACAATAACAATTGATCACATCTAAAGGTAGGTTTTATTTTAACCGACAGGGCTATTTTTTAAATATTCGTTTTGGAATTTTACAGATATTTTTGAATTTCTTTACATAGAATCCGACCATGTGATTATCTGCTAATTAGCCATGCTGAATGTCGACGTCGGGCCGCGAGTGGCGGCATTTTCAAAGATTATTTTTGCTTTGTATAAACAAAAGTTTTTTTGTATAAATCAGCAGTGTATCACTATCGAAATTATCTTGCTATTGCGAAAAGGACAACCTTAAGTTTTCAGCATTTTTCTTAAGTTTTGCGATTTTGTAAAACAATCAAAACACCGGCATCAAAAACATAAGTTGCCCTTAGTTACGCTACGCCATCTTCGAGCGTGCGCAGTGCGTTTTTCACCAGTGTCGTTCGTGTTCGTGTTCGTATTTGTATTCGTATTCGTATTCGTATTTGTATTTGTATTAATATTTGCATTTGCATTTGTTTGCATTTGTATTTGTAAAAGTGTTTGTGTTTGCGTTTATGTTTTTTTAAATATTAGTGTGTTTGTGTTTGCATTTGTGTTTGTATTTGTAAGTATTAGTGTATTTGTCAGGTTTGCATTTCTCGTACTCGTGGTATTGGTATTGGTCATTTCTAATGCTTCTAAATGCTTTTAAACTTTGCCATTTCTTTTAATTGTGTATTCTCTCTCAAATTTTCTATTGACTTGTTGGTTGGTTAGTTTGTTGGTTTGTTTGTTTGTTTATTTGTTTGTTGTGGTCATTATTGTTATGCTTATAATGATGAAAATGATAACAGCATGCTCGACGGTGCTTGATGCATGGCATTGATAATTATGATGAAAATTCATCTAATTTCCAACTCCATTCAACCTCACTTTTAAAAATAACTCACTGCTCTAGATTTTAATAAACTACCATGCCAACACAAAGATAATCTTCCTCCGCCTTCAATCTTTTGCCATTTATTTTTCCCAACAGGATAGAAACAAGCTCACCCACAAACAATTTTTAGCCCCACGAAAACAATAACATCTCCCACAGACAGTATTCCTAATCCCTACAAAAACACATTATTTTTCGTCAAGCACGGAAATATACTTCGGAAAAATTTACTAGGAAGAGTCGAAATTTCTTCGCTAAAAAACAAACTACCCGTTGATGAGAGATTATAGTTGATAATTTATTCCCAAAGTATTTTATTTCCATTGTTACACTGACCAATAGGATTCCTCTAAGCAGGTGCTAGACGACAGGGCTAATTTATCTATGCCACCGTTCTCAATATATGTATATCATGACGTCAATAACCAAGAGCAAAACATCGCTTTGACGTTAAGCCGCACACACAGGAGAATACAAGACTGGACTATGAAAGTGTGAATAGGACAGCATTTCGGAGAATCGTTCTTCTACAAATGGCAAGTTACTAAATTCATTTGGATTTTTTTTTTTCGAGCCGGTGTTTCGATGTTTTGAGGTTACTATATTGCTAGTCTGCAAACCGCATGTTAAAGACTTGAAACACTACTAAAAAACACGGCTCATTTCTGCCGATCGCTTCATCAAACCGGGCTCCGTTGAATAGAAATATTTCTTATGATGCAAACCGACAGCAGTTAAATAATATTCTTTCTATTTTCGTTTTGTAGACTGAATTCCAACTTACTGAGGAGCAAGTACATGGTAAGCGAAGCTTCGGTTTTTATATTCGTCTTGATAAAGTGAAATGAGTACAGTTTTAACCCATATTACGAGCAGTTTGATCTAATAAATAGTATTTTTCTGTAATTCGGGCTTTCAGAGCTCCAAGAGGCATTCTCGCTGTTCGATAAGGATGGAAGTGGGACAATTTCTAACGAGGAACTCGAGGTTGTCATGAAATCTCTTGGACAAAATCCCACGGATGAGGAACTCCAGAAAATGATACGCGAAGTCGATGCAGACGGTAAATACAAATGTAATGAATATGTTGCTATGAAAAACTTCAGTGGTTTGAATGTGCAGCGAGCGAATTAAAAATGAACTCCACTTCAGCTTTGTGTTTGAGAACAGTGGATTACCTTTAAGAAATGAAACGGGTATTTGATATTGCTCCTCAAGGGCAGAGCGAACCAGCTTACAATATCTGCAAGAAAAAAATAACCTTCAATCTATGCAAAATTATCTCAATTGCACATGGTTACAAAATATTACCGTTTTTTTTTTTTTTTTTTCTGCGTGCAGGCTCTTATTCTAAACGCTACAATTGGAGGGTAATTTTGAAGCTTAAAGTCTTTAATGTTTTTAAAGGAGCAATGTTACGATTTAAATAATTCGTAACAACTGATGAAACTCTGCTCAGATTGATGGAAATTCATCAGCTCTGACAATCATTCAAATTCAGTGGAACGAAAATTTCGAGTAGCTGTCAAAAAAGAAGAACAGTCTTACGAAATATATGAAGACACGTTTATAAGATGAAGAGCTTTCTCTGTTGTCGTGCACTGAAAAGATCTAACTCAGTTAAGTAATTAAAAATGTGAACGAAATTCTTTCATCATAGCAAACCTTAAAATCCTTTGGCACAATTAATCCCCAAAAAGGCTTTTCGAATGACCTAGTTGGGTTTTATTTATATTTGTATTTGTATTAAATTCGGCTTAAAATATTTAATCGTATTAAATCCTTTATTTCTTTTTTATTTCGGTGTTGTTTTTTTTTCTTTTACGTTTGTTTATATGTTACAGCGGCTAATCTTCTTTCAAAAAAACAATTTCTGAAAATAACTTCGATTAAAGTCTTTTCAAGAAAGTAAACTACTCTTCGAAAGTTTTTATTTTTTTATTTTTTTATTTTTTTCTGGTTAAATTTATTAGTCTTAGTCGAGAAAAGTTTTATTTAAATTGTCAGGAACGTCGAAACGGAGTTTATTTTTAAGCATAATAATTCATGAATGTAAAATCCACAATCTTCTCTCAAAACAAATCTGTGTACAGGTGTTTGCATTATATACTGCAAGACCACGTTTCTTACATCTAGCAAACTTGACGTTTGATGCTACAAGATTCTGAAATCAAATTGAAGTAAGGTTACAAAATCATGAATGAAAACTGGAACTTGAATAGTTCGACATTTGTATCAGTTATTATTCTTTTTCTATTTTACTAGCTCTTATTTTTTTAAGAAAAATAAAAGATTGTCTCAAGGCGCTTTTTAGTAATATCTACGGTAAGATCTAGCTAAGTATCCAATCGTTAAAGTAGCCGACTTTTCTTAATCTCTATGCGTAAGAAACCCAATTATAAGCGTTTTTCTCGAATTCTTTCTTTACATATGTTACAGCCCAATACGTTATGAAAGGAGGACGAGTGGTACGAAGCCCCAAGAGACTAGGATATTAGTACCCTCCCCGGGTGGGGAATAAATTGTAACCCCTTAAGGAATCGAATTTCGTGCTGACATGTTTGTAATGAAGTCAACGTCTCAAGTAAAGTTGTTGAGTTGTAAAAGGCGTTTTCTGTCGTCAGTTCCACAACAACATAAGCTTTCAACCACCTCAAACATTACTCGTCTTTGACTTTGACCGACCATAAAAACCTCGTTATTCCTTATCACAAAGAAAGGCATACGTACTTTTAATTGATGTTTTGCTTTGAGTCTTAAATGGCCTTTTCTTAGATTTATTTACTGCTCCTTTTGCGTTTGAAAACAGATTTTTATGAACTTCCGGTTTTCCACATAAATAACATGATAATTATACGAATGACTAAGACGATAGAAATATCCGGCTCGACAGCAGGCCAGATTGCAATTTCATTTGATGTCATCCGTTCTTTAAAACCTCCATTCATCGTCACACCTAAAAAAATCATTTATTGGGTTTGATTTTCATTCGTTTTTCTTACCTAAAAAGCAATGTATACACAATTTTATCGTATCTATTCAACTGTAGTTTCTATTATTTTTCTGTCACGTCTGTAATTAATCGTATTGGACTTGAACTAATTTTTGCTGTTTACAATTCGAAATTCGTTTTCTTAATATAACACAGTGTAAAGCTAGCCAGATTTAGTTACCCAAATCTTAGTTTTTGCTTTATACTTTCGCTGGTACACAAATACGAGCTCAGCATTTTAAAAACCTGGCTATCGCGAGCGAGAATCGTATAAATAATTTTCGCTGACATAAGCGTGGCTTTTGATCCTTAAGGCTTGTATTGCTTGCCGCTGAGTTACATCATTATTGAGCCTTTTGAACTAACAGTTCGTTGTTTGTTCCAGGCAATGGAGAAGTTGACTTTGAGGAGTTTTTAGTCATGATGAAGAATCAAATGCAGAACCGAGACGCTGATGCAGAAATGCGGGAAGCTTTTCGAGTGTTTGATAGAAACGGCGACGGCTCAATAAGGTAAATAAAAAAGCCTTTCCTTTCCTTTCCTTAGCCCGAGTTCTCTATTCTTTTCCTTTTCTTTTTTTTTCTTTTCTTTTCTTTTTTCTTTCCCCCCCAATTTTTCATACGAAGTCCGCTGGCTCTATATAACTGTGTACTGCACCTGCATCTTCTCGTACACTGTACCACAAAATGACCCAGGGCTATCTCATCGTTCATTGCGAGTGAGATAAAAATTTTCATTTAAACAGCTGAAATTATTATCTTCGTATTTTTAAAAAAATATTATAATTTTACTTAAGTGTAGTTTATGTCACCTTTTAACATTGTCTATTTTCTAAATTCTTCAAGACATTTAGAGAGACTCGTCAATACTGGAGTACTTACAATCACAACAGAGCTAGGCTCCAAATTAAGCGAAAGCCCAGAGATCGAATTAGAATTTAGAAATTGATCTTTGAGGAGGGAGGAAAACCGGAGAACCCGGAGAAAAACCCTCGAAGCACAGGAGAGAACCAACAAACAACTCTACTGACATTCACCATTTTCCATACATCGGTTCACTGGTCAAAAACAAAGCATTCAGTCGAGGTTGCAAGGTTCAAATTTGAATAATCCTTTGAAAGTACCTTGGCGCCTCGCTTGAGCGCTTTGTGTTTGACCAGTGAACCGATGTATGGAAAATAGTGAATACGAGTCTGGGGATAGAACCCAGGTCACATTGGTGAGAGGCGGCGCATTAGCAGCGCACGCCACCAGTGCTTCCGATCCTACAACTGGCTACTTTTATTTGCCAAATTAGTCGAGCATGTCTTCATTAAATGCTAAAGTAATACCTAGTATTATCATTAGTAGAAGTATATTTACAAAAAAGATGCACATAAACCGGTTGAAGCCAAGGAAACAATAATAAGCAGCACGCAAAGGGACTTGGGATAGCTCTCGGTCTTCCTCTGGCACTGTACCATCACACATAACAGGGCTGAAAAAATGTCAGCAGTCGGTTGTTGGTAGAATATATAGAGAGCTCACTCGGCTGCTGTCTAAAACTCCTATGGTTTAATGAGTGTCAATGAGTGCAGTTTAGTTAAGCTTATTTCTTAAAATTCATGAAAAATATGTCTTTTAATCTATTAACCAATAACTAAGGTTTGTTTGTATGTAGAACATTTCGAAAACGTTTTTTTGTATTAGATGCAAATTTTTTAAGCCGCCATGTTGGTTTTCTTGACGCATGCGCATACTTGTTTCAGCCCTGTCACTTTAAATCGCACGATATCTGGGCTCATACTTGTTTGTCTCTCGTGTTCATCTAGTGCCATGGAGTTAAGAAGTGTGATGGCAAGTTTAGGAGAAAAACTGAGCGATGACGAGATTGCAGAAATGATGCGAGAAGCGGACCTCGACGGAGACGGTGTCATCAACTTTGAAGGTCTGTCTGTCCGTCTGTCTCACTTTCTGTCTTTCAGTTCATCCTTTCAATATTCTTTTTTTCTTTCTTTCGGAGGTCTGTCTTTTTGTATGTTATCTTTTGAACCATTTATCCATTCGTCATGTATTTATTCGTTCATTTCGTGTTTGTTGGCTCATTAGCACAAAGCTCTGTAGCTAACCTTATCTTTGCTTGTTTAGAATTTGTACACATGGTAGGAAGCATGGACAAAGGAGTGGAAGGCCCACCACGCTTCCAGATGGCTAACTAACTAACGGCATACACCTGCACTTTACTTGAAAGAAAACTTTGACTCCAGCTTAAACAGGGAAGAGCACTGGTTATATCACGTTGCTAAGGAAACCCACCTGATCACAAACTTCAGTGGAGACAAGCTTACTCTCCCGCTCTTCCTCGGCTGGATAAGTTTCTTGGCTCTTGTAAATATTCTCATCATTATATATCTTATGTTCCAGTCTACATCAAAGTAGAGTATTTATATTTATTCGAATGTTAATAGTATTTATTGATGATGTATGAATAACCTTTAAGTAATGAAGTTTCATTAGTCAGGTTTTTAAGAAGAAATGATATTCTAACATTCTATTCTATTCCATTCCATTATTTTCGGTTCTGTTCTGTTCTGTTCTGTTCTGTTC